CTGCCTCCTACATTAGGCAAAATTTGTATCTATCGTACCATGTACTAGAAATTGGTGCATTCCTGGTTGGAATATCATTATCAATACCTTTTAATTCTGCTTGTGATGTTGTAAACGAAATTTGACTTTCTCAACTGAATATTCCTGTTTATCCGAAACTAAGGATGATAATGAGGAAGAAATAATTATAGAAGGTGATATTGAACAATTTATAAAACAAAAGATTATGATATTTTATGAAAACATTGAAACACAAAGAACATTTATGTTTATTTCTGTTTTCTATGTTTTATCGTATTCTTTATTCAATTGTTCGAATAGAGCTCGGAGCTGGGTTAATGACAATTACAGAAAAAGAATGATAATATTCACACTTTTCACCTATTGTCAAGTGTGGCATAAATGAATAATCATTTTTCTGTAAAAAAATAATCACATTTCCCATGGGATTAGGAACTCATCCCATCCCATCCCATGGGATATCTCAAAAAATCAAGTTGTCCCCTGGGATGGGATGGGATGGGATGGGACGGGATGGGACGGGATGGGACGGGATGGGATGGGATTATCCCATCCCATTAGGAGCCCTGTAATGAATCTTAAAGTGACTCATTTATTTTTAAATCTTATTCTCGCTACTTTCGAAAATTCGAATCGTGTGCTTCGCACCGCATTTCGTAGTCGAGTGAAACTCGAATACCATCTAGTTTATTAACTGATATTGCAATTTTATCACATAACCTTTTAATTTAACAACTGATCATTTAACTAGTTTACTAGTACTTCAATATATAACTGATCATTCATTCAATCAACAGGTTTTATAATATTTTTTTCTTACTGGTCATACCATCTATTTTACTGATCATCTAAATCCATACCATAAAATAATAGCTGCAATATTTTTGCCCAACTTTAATAGTAAAAATTACACGTCAGGTGTTGTAATTTCTGCTTGATTGGTTATTTTGTATGTTTCCAAGAAACTACCAAACAAACAATTTTGTTTTCTATGCGCCATGACTAATTTCGAGAAAGAAATGCAATCGTACGAAATGACTTCTCAATGAAGGATTCATACTGTTGACACATGATTTCAGAAATTTTACTGAATCGCATAATTGTGGCTCATTATTTCATAGTTATCTGCAAGACTTCCGCTATTTTAGCGTAATTTTGATCGCGACACTGAATATCTTTCTGTAGGACGCCAACATTTGGTTTTAAAACTTTTGCTGCAATCAGTTACAAATTTTCTACATGAAATATCTCCAAAATATTGAGTCATTAGAGCTTGTAAATGTCACACAATATTCACCGAGAGACATCTCAATGTAAAAAAAAAATAAGACATTACGAGCAGCGACTGATTCAGGACTATTTCTCGACGAAAACAATGACGAAAGATTGAAATCAATAGCGATACTTTAAAACAATTATTGTCTTTCAGTGAATTGACTTTTGAGTCGCCCTATATAATTTAAATTTTATTTATAATAGAAACTCTCAAATCTGATTTGCCATCGGCTTGGAATCGTTTTTATAATGTACATGAGAATAAATTTTTCAAAGATCGTCAATGGTTGTTCACTGAATTTCCCGAATTGTTAGTATCAAATACAAATACAGAACAAGTATTAAACATATTAGAAGTTGGTTGTGGTGTCGGCAATTCAATATTTCCAATAATACGTACAAATAATATAAATTCAAATTCAAATGTATTTCTTTATTGTTGTGACTATTCATCAACAGCTATCGATATATTAAAACAAACTTCTGACTATAATACAAAGTACTGTCATGGATTCGTATACGATATAACAAGTTCGAATCCAATGCCATTTGAAGAGAATTCACTAGATTTTATATTAATGATATTTGTATTAAGCGCAATTGACCCGTCTCAGCATGATCATGTTATAAAAAATCTTGTGAAATATCTAAAACCTGGCCGCGGTAAATTGTTGTTTCGCGATTATGGTTTATATGACATGGCACAATTACGATTTAAAAATGATAAATGTATCGAAAAAAATCTTTATGCAAGATCGGATGGAACATTAACATATTTTTTTCAACAAGGTTTGAACGAAATCTGTTGTTTTTGTCATCAAACAAATAAATTAAGAAGGTTTTTCTTGTTCTATGATTTCAGATCAACTTGATGAACTTTTTACTCGCAATGGTCTTACAAAAGAACAAAATCTTATCGATCGAAGACTTCAAGTTAATCGTTCTAGACAATTGAAAATGTATCGAATTTGGTTACAATGCAAATATATCAAAGCATAAAAACAGTTATTTTGTTTGTTATACTGTTTTGTTCTTGTTATAAAGAAAAAGAAGAAAAATTTGCGACATGTTAATCTACTCATGTATTATCTACCATGGCTTGAACTATTTTCAATAGAATTTTGTCATTATTTACGATAGATGTCAGAAGCGAGACGAGTGCAAATATAGCCAGTAAAAGTATCGCCTTTGTACTTGAATGAATATTAAAGTACGAAAAGAAAAATTTCAAGCGGTACTAATATACGAGAAAAGTACTTTGTGTTTTTTACTTCATGACTAAAATTACTAAGTTTTTTTTTTCTATGGTGATTATTTCTATTAGATTTCTCATAACCATCATGGAACTAGCTGAACGAAAAGTAAACCAAAATCAAAATATTTTAATGATTAGAATCAGTTTTCGCTTTCATAGCTATATATGATAGATAGATGAGTACCTTCTACTTTTCATAATCGAAACACAAATCTTTAACAACAACAGTAAAGAGTTCCGAAACAAATTCCTTCAGATTACAATGAAAAGTAAGAAGCACAATGGTGTTTTTGTCGTTTAACACGATGACGAAGTTATTATCTAGAAATAGAAGTAGCTACTAATGAGACTTGATCATTACTGTTATAAAATTACAAGAACATGTAACCAAACTCTGGCAAACGTATAGAATGTTCCATGTAAATATATTTTCAATAAAAAAGAACTAGCAGAATGTGATATTAGCAATAGAAAGTCCACTAGATTTCTAAAACAAATACATAAATATTCTCCATGAATATGTCGATCTGTCGAAAATCGATTCCTTCTAAATATCGCCCTGGACATATTCAGTAAAAAACAAAACAAAAGCTTATATTTATTTGAAAATTACTCGAGTTTTCGTACATGTTGACGAACAACTTTCTCATTCGCACCTTGCAGTATTGAAGAATTCACAAATGATAAAAATAATCGCGGTTTAAAATATCTCACGGCAACATAATTAAATAGTTGGATAGTCATGTATACGATAAATATGCTTGTCAAAATTTAACCCTAATCCGCCCACCAGGGGTCCGTGCGGACCCCAGCTCAAAATAAGAATTCTGAAAGTGCGTCTTGTTCTTTTTACGAGTACGTCTCAAATGGACAAAAATTCTATAGATTGGTGGTATATGATACTCTGCTTCAGTATAACATGAATTGAAAAGTTAAACGCTCACAATTAAGTTTGAACCTCATCCAACGTAGAATAGTACAATATACGCGTTTATAGAGGTGGTCGGATTAGGGTTAAGTTCCACATTTGTTTTCTAAGCCTTAGATTATCTTTTTTTCATATGAAGGAACACTATTTTTTTTTTATGAATGTAACTGAAAAAAATCTTGTATTCGCATTCAATCTGAATTACCATACTAATATCATCGCAAGAAAAATGTACACTATTGATCCAGTTGTGGTTTATAGACTGCCAAACACAAATGACAAACAACGAAGACATCCAGGAACACTTCGTCCTTATAAATCAAAAATTAAAAGAGAAAAAAAGACTCATTGAAGCATACTTCATTGAATTTATTTCAAAGCACAAGATAGACTGCTTTGTTCTCAATTTCACGCTCGACAAGAATATGCTTTCGAGTGCAGTCGAGAGAAAAATTATAAAGGTGTCTTTCCAACTTCCTCTTAATCTCAATATATAAATGGAAATAAACAGAATAAAAAATATGCAATTCAAAGTCGCAGTGTATAAATAATACAATCCAACTGTGAGGGTTACGTGTCACGGTGTCACTATGATCTATCGAGGAAAAAACGACTTATTATGTAATAGGAAGTTCATTTTAGACCATTCGAAATAGAACTATTTGTCAAAGAAGATTATGAATTTAATACTCTGTTTGAATAACATAGAAACAATGTTGCTGTTGAATATTGTCATTACGCTCCGACTTCTTAGGTTCTTTGAAGTTTCTTCTCTTTAATCAATATTCTGAGTGGTATATTTATGTATGATATTTCCGAATGACTGATAAAACACTGGTTACTTTTATTCTCACTGATGTAGATTGTGTGCTTTTCCTTAGCATTATATGTATGCGTGTGAGTTGTTTTTCCTTTCTTTGTGTTTTGTGTTTCGTTCTTTCTTTCGTTTCCTTTATTCTATCTACTCTACATTCGTTTCTATCTCTCTCTCTCTCTCAGGGTCAAATTGTATGGATAGCGACCTTAATCTATTATTCGTCGTATTGCGCAGTAATATTTTCTATTGCGTATTTGATAATACGTGATACTATCCTATATTCATATATATATTTCTGCGGTCAATAGTTTTGTCTTTCGTCTTTGTCTTTCTCTCTATTCGTTCTGATTGTGTTCTTATGTTAATAAGAACTGAACTCACGTTAAGAAAATAACATAAATCTACAACTGAGACCAGTCTTTTTTTAATTTTTATAAAGAAAGGATAATTTGGTCGACAATATCTATAAATTTAAAATGCCAAGTTTTCCGTATGAAATATTCATCTCCAGTACTCATGATGAACAGATATTTAGAAAAAGTGTCAACAAAATTCCCATAGCAATAAATTCAGAGAAGGAATATCATCATCTTTGAAAATTAGTCAAACAACGTTACTTATGCATGGCATTTATGTTTGAAGAATGTATTTATCGATAGATGAAATTTGCTCCTAAGAAAAACGCGATAAGATTTGTCGAACATTTATTTTTCAGCTTAAGAATATTTATTTTAATTGTTGTGATATTGAGCATGATAAATATTCGAAAGTAATTAGAAGAAAAAAAATGTTCAGCTATTTTTCAAGTTTGTTTTTAAAGAAATTGTAAACTTAACAATCTTGAGACACAATTGGAATTTCAATAGGAATCTTAATTTAGAACATATAAACTGACTTGTTATAGGCGCACAAATTCAAACGGCTTGTCTTCATGAGATCGATATGTGATTTGAAACTAACTAAAGCATCCGTATCACTTTTTCATAGAAAATTAGATGCTTTTCCATTCGACACCTTTGACATAAAATATCTTGTGTTACAATGAGGTGAAAAAATCTTTTACTCAGAAAGAACATAGATTTCTGCGGAGAAATTTTAACAGGTATTGAAAAATGAATAAAGTTTTCTTTTGAATTTCTTTTTAATTAGACCTTCAATGAAAATATTCTGGAAAAATTTCAATAAATTTTATATTTACGAATGAAATAGAAACTCATTTTTATTAATGTAATTTGATTCTCGAAAATTGATTCGAAAGAAAAAAAGCTATTTGTTCCCTGAAATTATCACTAGTAATTAAACAATTTATTTTTTTATTATTTAATGGAGAATATCATGAAAATTCATCATAAAAATTCATTATATTGAATTCATCAAATAGAACTGAATGTCAATGGGTTGACCTGATATATATATTTATATACTAGTCTTTTTGTTAACAGTTTTTCTACAATCATTAAACTTTCTAGTAAATATTCAAGCGCTACGAAACCATGCGTACTTCTATTTATATGACTATGTGAATAGCACAACAATATATATATATATATATAATATTTCTTTGAACGCTCAAGGTAAATCATGTGATACGTTGAAGTTAATTAAAATTTTATCTGGTTTAAATTAACTCTGACATGACTTGCACTGACAAGCCAACAAGTGCATCTTCTACAACATCCTGAACAACACAGCAATCGAGATAGAAAAATAGTCGAGAAGATCCTACTCAAGATATAATGAACTATTTGACATGAAGGATTCAACAGTGCCATATATAGTTACATCTTATTTTAGATTTGACTATCAAAACCAGCGTAGACCTTCAATTGCTGAAATGTTTGATTATCAAAGAGTAATCTAAATATCTATTGATATATCTATCGAATTATTAGTATATTATCACTTCTTTAAAATATTTTAAGGACGTTTGAAATAAAGATCGACCTAGTATGACAGGTCTTCATCAAGTTGATTATTTTGTTAAGAGCAAAAACTGTTGCTCATTAGCAATAGATGAATATGACTTGACAGTTATAGTCGAGGCTTCTTTTAGATCAGAACTAATTATTGAAAAGAAAATGGCTTCCTTTAGACTAGATGAATTATATATTATTTATATCAACACTTAGTGTCAGAAATGAGCGAAAATCATTCACTACAGAACTAAAACGGAAATATATCATGAACTAATTCTAATAATTAGTTCGCAGTTAGATTTGATTACTTATTATTTCTATTAGAAAATTCTATCATCATAGGTCTTCAAGAAATTAATAATAAATTTAATAGAACATTTTGCCAAACACACCTCGAGTTTCTGTGGATTAAAATAGAATAGAATAAGCTCTGGGTTGAAAAGAACTTGACATGAAACAAAGCTATTATTTATCAAGCCTATTGTTTATAAATATAAGAGTTGAAGAGTTCAATTAAATCTGCATGAATAATTGCTCATTCTATTATTTAGCTTTTGATAAAAGAATTTTTCGAATATTTATATATGAATGACATGAATACAAATTGATCCTTAAAATATTCTTTTTTTAATCCTACAATAGAACTAATTATTATTCCGAAAAAAAGTTGTTCAATCTTTTTTTTGTTGAGGACATCAGCCATTTTATATGCTTATGGATTTAAATTCATTTTCATTGTTTCTCAGAGACGAAGCAAAATATCGACGTACTCAAATAAATAATGCGTGCTAACGTCTGAAAATAAAAAACAACATATCCATAACTTTATATGTACGGGTACCCACTATGCAAACTGGAGACAATCAAATGTTTTGGCAAAAACAAACATTCTTTCGGCTTGTTTTGTTTTGAATGAAGTCGGCTGCGACCTAAGTTTTATATTACCTTTTATATTTACACAATTGACTATATCACATTGCCTTTGATTGACATGTGTGACAGATTCATCGTTTCGATGAAATAGAATCCGAAAAGAATTATTGCAAAGTTTTACAAAAAAATGAAAGTTTTTGTGTTTTCTATGCAAAATCATGTTTCAATTGACTTTCTCATTTATTTTTGTCTTTCTTTGAATGATATTTTTACGATTGTAATCGTCATTAATTGTAAATATGCCGAATTCATATTCGAAAAGGTGCTATCACCACATAGGACATACGAGTAGTGATATCGTAGATAAAGCATTGTGATGACGACCTATCAATCAAAAATCATTCTTCATTACTTTTTTCTTCTTCTACAATTGTCAATCTACTTTTTCGTTTTTCATCAATAGTAATCTAACAAACAAATTATGATAAAATATGTGTATATTTTGTCGTTTGAAATCTAGTAGTTCGCAAAAAAATATTAAAAAAATAAATGCGCTTTTATACAATAAGAGAACGTCGGAATTGATTATGTTATAATAAGTTAACAGAATCGATTAATACTCTAAATTCATATCAGGCGGCTTAGACGATTGATTAAAAACTAGTTTTAATATGGATAAACAAGTAACATGCGTGGATGAAGATTGTTTTTTAACACCTTTCGTTCTTGCATTCGACGACGACGAAAAATTTCCTAACAACGAAAATTTGCGTTTAGTAATTTCTTCATTGAACTTTTTCTCATCGTCTATATTAATATTATTAACAGCTCGATCGTCCATTTTAAGTAATAGAATAGATTGATCAAATATAACAGGAAAATAATCTAATTTAAATGATGACGGATGAAAATGTATCAATGCGCCACGTTGATATGAATATAAACAAAACTTATCTGGCATATAGGGTGGTAAATGATAATTTAATAATGAACGCAACTGTTCAATTGTTTTGTCAGATGATATAGTGAATGTAATACGAGAATTATCTGATAATCTTTCAACTGTTATAGTAATGGATTTTCTAAAAAATAAATATTGTTCTCTAATTATTTTTATACTCAGAAGAAAAAGACACAATTGATTAACATACGCTGGTATTTTTGTTCTTCTGATTTTCATTTGCATTGGGCTATTTTGAAATTATGTCATTTAGAATAATAAGCTACCTGAAAATAAAGAAAAGAATAATGTACAAGTTTATATATCGAGATGAATGTTATGAAACGACAGTAAGCGCAAAATGCCTTGTGTCTTTCACTTCGAAAGCATTTTTCTCTCCCTTTTTTCACTGTGAATTTTTTTGTTACGCTTGATCGCTTTTGTCCTACTATTACTAAGGTAATTTTGCCGGTTAATTTGAAATACACGAATGAAACATTTTGGATAGATTATTTGTTAATCAATACGATTAATTATTCGATGTTTCTGATGTATACTTATGCACATTTAACAAAGTCGAAAGAATACATTGTAGATGCATATATATATGTTGGTAGTGTGCTTTGCTCTGTTGTTTTGGTGCATTTTTTCTTTGCCTATAATCGGAACACGATGACCTCAAAGAGATAAAATACTAGTACAGAACGAAGGAAAAAGTCTTTTTCTCGCATTCTTGAATAAAATAAGAAAGAAGCCCAGACAAACATAAACAGCTACGTTACTATGAAATTAAATTCATCATTTGTACAAACTACATAAAAACAAAACTTATCAAGCACCAACTACATAAAATTAATTCCATTCAGTTACTCATTCGACATGTTTCTATGAAATCAAGAAATAGAAATGCTGAATATATTATATTTATAAACCGTGACCGAAATTTAGGGAGTACTTCGCCAGTTTCTATTAGTCATGTTTGTATACTCGTCTGACTGATTGACATTCTGAATCGCGAAATCTTTTTACAAAATAATTATTCACATTTAGATTAAAAAAAAACACAAGAAACAAAAATTTAACTGACATCTATTCGATTCATAGGTTCTTTTTACTCGTATATCTTACACTTCGAATTAATATGTTAGCTGCTAAGTTTGCTCTCATCGGGCATGCTAACCTTTCCAAACAGAAAGTGATCGTTTGACATGAAAGAGTTTTAATGACAAGCAGATAGTCGAGTGATTATCTTAAATCTCACACCAATAAGAATATAGAAAAAGACTGTTTTGCTAGTTATTATTCGATGACCTACATATTTTAATTGGATTGTTGGAATGCGGCATTATTTTTTGCGCTGATAAATCTCATATATACTTCTTTCTAACGAACATTGGTTTCTTGTGTTAATACATTTTTAATTACTGGATAGAATTAGTTCTCGGAGGGTTTGTAAGGATAAGAAAAATAAAAAATTGTTATTGAAAACTTTTCATCATCGCATACATTAACAAAAGGAAAATTTTGTTTTTCAAAACTATTCTCTACATATTGTGTTTAGATACCTGATGTGAACCAGAAATGACGCTTGAAATAGAAAAATTGACTAAGAAGTAGCTTTCTTTTCAATTCTATTAACATAATTGAGCTTAGTGAATAGAGATACTCATTTAGGAATACTTCATATGAAAAAAATCTTTTCCTATTAACACGCATATCAACATCTGTTCATTATCATCATGACAAAATTAAATTCAGTGAACAAAGACAAGAGTATATGGCCAAAAAAAAACAACCGAGCATCAAAAAGATGCCAGGCAGTGCATAGATTTTCGATGAAAAGTATGATTTTTAGTTGAACCATTCTTCGCAAACGAAACATCAGCATTATGACAGATTTCAATTATTAATTTCACTACAAAATATCTCCAACATCAAGTATAGATTCCATTTTTTTTTTACAAAATATTTCTATTGTAATTGAAACTTGTTTCACTATGTCACTTCGTTACGGATTGTGCTTCACAACGACTACTCAAAATGTATAGCATTTTTGATAAAGTCTCATACAGATTATTCGACGCCAATAACAAAGAAAATTTCAAAAAAATTAATATGCTCATGATTTTTCGTATGCATATTTGAAAGCAATTTCAAACTGAAAACAGTGTGAAGTACACTTTAGACAACATTGTCATTATGACTTACAAAACGTATGTAGCAACCGGTATCATGGCATCTACGTTTCACAGTGTGTTGATTGTTTACACAACAATAAGAACTATTTACTGTGCGAAAAAACGATGAATTCATTTTTTGAAACGTTTTACGATTTCAAGCAAAATGAAACAGACTTGAAATGTTGATCTACTTGATTGATTCTGTCGGTATGACATCAAACAAAAGCTTTTATGGGCTATTTGCAACCTTATATCTTGATTTCTTCGATTGACCTAATTTGCTTGAATAATTTCAGTTTGTAATTATTCAAATCCGGTTCACATGGTACTTATATATGTAACGCCTGAGTGAAGTGAAATGATGAAGCAAAACTATTTGTCAGTGTCATGTAAAAATATCTTGCATTTCATTTGCTTCCTTTTTTAGATTAAGCGATTAATTATACTAAAACCTGCGGATGTTTATATCATATTTAATTCACTGAAATTGAATATTAGTACCGACTATTGAGACCAAAATGTATTAGATGACGTTGAACATCTATATTATGTTTTATTATATAAATAATTCTGGTGTTTTTCATATTTGTGAACAATAGAAATAATTAGATGTCATTTTTATCTGACTATATTACAAAAGAATCCTTTGAGTTAGACGTCTAACAATTTTTTCAACCAGTTTCTCTCTTGCTATGTCCTTAAATAGTATAAAGAAAAAGAAACAAAAGCTGACATTATTATATATAAATGTCATTTCAAAATAGAAAATGTACCATCTACTATCAGATAGTTAAGTACTTTAAATGATAACTTTGTGGTAAGTACAATATTTTTAAACCTAGACCAACGCGTATAAATGGAACCTGAAGAAAAAAGAGCTTCCGAAATCAATGCAAGATGAAGAATGTATTGTAATTTTTATTGTGTCTTTATGTTTCATCGATTGTCGGATGCAATCATCTTCACGATTAGTTCCTATTGAATAGACTCATTTTTATCATCGAAAATAATCCCTCTGGCGTGAGAATACATAAATACAATAATATGTTCCTTACCTTGGCTTTTGTAAAATGATGTCGATCTATATCTATTTGAGTATATGAAAGAGGTCGTCGTGCATGGACTCATTGTATAAAACTGATGAATCTTACTGTTATTTTATAGTTTGCCTGCATCTAAGGAAGAGAAACACATTAATATTCATTAAAAAAAACCTATCGTTCTTAGGAGAGAAAAAATAATCACTTTGACATGGGAGAGAAAATATTAGATTTGTCACCTCGGCGTAATAAAATCATTGAATATAATAAATTCAAATATGATTTTCATATAGCTGAATCATAGAGATGACAGCAATTGATTTAGACCAAAGACAAGCGCATTATGACCCTATCAAGTAGTGTTACATGCAACAAAGTATGATATGAATACGACCCAAGCTAATGACTCTAAATTTTTCTATACACGATAATATGTCCCTGTAATCACAGGTTTTTTTTCACCTTATTCAAGAGAAACAAACGTATTGCATCTAAACATCGGACTCTGTTTGCAAGACTTCTTTTCTTATCGGTTGACTATTGTACCCCTTTATTGAAGAAAACAATTCCGCCATCTGTACTCTATGAAAACTCAGACAGAGAGATAACTAGCACTAAAGAGAAAACTGCATAGGAGAAGAATAAAAGTGATGATATGATCTCACGAAAGGTGAAGATAATAACACTGTTTCTTATTGAAAAAAATGCCGATTTTTCTGTTGTGTGATCCGATTTTTTTTTAGAATATTATTTAAGATAAATAGTATTTCTCTCGTTGACAGCACAAAAATAATGTGCCCGATAAATGGAATTTAAGTTACTGTTAAACGCAATCGTTATTTTCTACATGAACGTTAAATCCTTGATAGTAAAAGATCACTATGACAAATCAAAGATAATGATTAAGTACAATCATTATTTAGTTCGTCACTAGAAGTCAACGATTATTATGAATTTTTTTCCCCAAATGAAACCTTGATCAACAAATTAAAATAGTTTTATATGATCGTATGACTTGTTCAGGCCTCTATCCCTCTTTCATATGCATCCAACTAAATATATCTATATTTCTCACATCATACCTTTTGGCCTATAATCATTATGTTTACAAAACTGAAATTTTCGAGGCCAAATAGGTGAGTGTCATTATGATTTGTGTATATTTTCATAATAGCATTGACTCGGAACGCAGTGACGTACACATTTATCAGTGAAGATCGTTTTATTTTAAGATAATTTAAAATGTTCTAGAAGGTGAATATCGTCGAGGTCAAAAAAAAATGCTTTTGCGTAACCAGCGGTGAATCATTCTCAAAGTCGTAGTCGTACTTATTTAAGTTCTTTTTTTACATTTTTTATATTTTCATTTGAATAAGCTTCATCCACAGTTTTCTACATTCAACTTCTACAGATATGTATTTCATTGATTTAGTGAAAAGTTAGCGCAATCAAGGTAACATGCTTTTGTCAAGCAGGAGAGCTGTAACAGATAAAAACATATTAGCGAGGCGGATTGTATATATTTAGCAAAAGATCGCTTGTGAACAGCTAAACAATTTACGCTATTTAAATAGAATTCATGTATTGACAGGGATACAGTAGAAATCAACCGTAGTAACTGATCATCGCATGAAATATTCTGAAAGAAAATAAGTGAGAAAAAATATTGATCCTTCATCGATTAATTAATTATCAATTCAGACTAAACAAAATAATACAATTATTTCCATTGGCGATGAATGTCGAGCGTATGTTTGAGTATGTCTATATAAACACTGACATTGATAAATTGAGAATAGTGAACAAGTGAAAATAAACTGGTGACATGAAAATGTTCAACTGAATGATTTACTCGATGAAATTCTTACGATTATTTTTACACTAATAAACAATACTAAAGGCCTATACTCTTTAACTGATATTGGCTTAGTTTATATGATGTTGACACAGACCGCGAAATATTTAACTGCGAAACTATTAAATAAAACAAAATATCAGAATAATTAAAAATTGTTTAAAAGTTTTA